TGCAATCGATGCTCTCAAAGTCTCCACTGTCTTGTAAATCCTCGAATGTACATTCGGGCTGTTCTGCCACGCATAGGAATGCGTATGCTTTGGATGGTCGCCCTGAGGCGGCCCCGAAGTTCTTCCGTGCTCTTTGCTGCCACTCCAGCAGCTGCGTGATCTTAGGCAAGACAGGTACTCGGACGGTGTCTGACTCCTTGATAGGGGTCGTTGTATGGACCGACACCGCAGACACTGGTTGTGAGGGTATCGGTGCACCGTCAGTGGTTGGTTCTGTGCGCACAGGCGACACATGACGTGTCTGTGCAGAAGCTGCCGCGGAGGCTGCTCCTGGGGACGTGCGTCGTTGTTGTCCTGCGGAAGCTTGTGGTGCTTCGGCGGACGCTGCCGTCGGCCTGTGCGGGTCGGCTGCAGGTCGAAGGTGTATGTTGGTGTCGTTAGTGTGGTCGATCAGCTGATTCGTCCAGCTCGTCATGTCTTCTTGTATGTGACCCACCTTTTGGCGTGTATACTCATCAGTATCCCGAGAACGTTGTGAATACCGATCAAGTCGATGCTCGTATGCTCGGAGACGGGCGCTTTGTGCGTCCATTTCGCTTTCCAGACGTGCGAGGTAACTCTCTACACGCACCTTCTCAGTATCTCTTTCATGAATAACCTGGGAGAGCTCCAACTGCGCGTGGCCCGCCGCCTTCTCAACCTCCTGCAACCTGTCAGTGAGGCGGGCGAAATCGTAAACCGTGGGAGGAGAATCCAGCTGATCAGTCTGGGCTCGTCCGACACGCAACTCTGCCAGGGCATCCTGTACACCAGGAAAACGCTGCTCTATGTCAGAGATCCGGTTAGCGAGTGGCTGCGCGACAGCGTTGGTCGCATCAAGCCTTTGAGTGATGACTCTCTCAGTACGCTGCAACATGTCGATCAGGTTCGACGAGTTGGCGTGTGCTTCGGTGCGAAGCGTCGCCGTAGTGTGGTCTAGATAAGATCGAAGATAATTGATCTGAGACTGAACGTCGCCAAGGTCTGTGGCCTCGGTTGGAGTTGGTCGGTTGCGGAGCTGGTCGTGGATCTCATCATGTAAAATCCTGACCGCGGAAACGCCTGTGTCGCGTACGATCACAAGCTGTTGCTCCATCTGCGCGAGATAGTTGCGCAGGTTCTCGACCATCGCCGTTCGGTCACCTGAGTGTGACACCTCACGATCAACCTGGTACTGCAGTTCTCCTATGATGCGTCGATCTTCGGCAATCCTGGAATCGATGATCCCTAAGGCGCCGTCAAGATCGCGGCGTATGGCTGCAGTATCGGTGGCGTTCGTCTGAACGCTCTGTAGTAGTCCAGAGTATTGGCTGGACACGAAGGTTTCAACCTGGTCTCTGAGCTCAGCTATGTCACCTGCGGCGGACGTCTCCGCCAGCTGGTCGTCTGAGATGGAGAGGTGGGGAGCGTCAGCTTCCCTGTGTCCCCTGTCGCGGGGAGCGCATGGCCTCTGAGAGGCAGTGCGTGGGCTCGACCTGCTTTCGCCGCATGGGCCCGGGGCTCCACGGCGGCTGCGCGCGGACGAGCTGCGACTCGGACCATGTGTGTGTGGTGTCTCATCCGATGATACCTTGGGGTACCGCGTCTGCGGCTGTGCCGACACTGGTCTACTGAGTTCCTCGAAGGTAGCTACGTGCTCCGCCACAGGGACGGTCGCAGGGCTGGGGGTCCCAGCGCCTGAGGTCCATCGGCGGTTAGCGCGAAAGCGCCCTGGAGTATCGAGACCAGCAAGGCTTTCGCCTGACGCGGTTGGGATTGCTCCCGACGGGGAAGGGGAGGGAGGATCGAAGGTCGGCGTGTGAAACTCCTTCCTTCCTGTTCCTACTCCTTCTCCTGTCCCCCCGCGGGCGGCGCTGCGGCGAAGTTCAGCAGCTAGTCGCGCCTCGGGCCCTTCGGAGCCGGTGCGTGTGTGTGTGTGTGTGGGGGGGGGGGGGTTATCTGGAACACCAACACAGTCCGCATTAATGCTCTCCAACTCGTCACCGAGCCGTCGGGCCGTGGGAGAGCTCGGACGCGAAGGGCCGATGGAACCCTTGCGGCGCATGCGCCGAAGTGGCTCCATCAGGCTCGCATGCGAGGTCACCGCGGGCGAGTCGGTGAGGGTGAGCTTTAAAGGGCTGATAACCTGTGTATGGGGTTGAAGTACAAGGGTACAGAACCCCTGATCCGTTGGTAGAGAGAAGGAGGGATAGATGGATATCTTTCCCTCCCGCACGATCAAGGTCTGATCGATCTATCTCGGTACCTGAGCCCAAACGGCCAGGCGCAGGAGAGGTAAGGATAAGGAGTAAATATGAGGGTATTACACGGGTTCCATTCACATGGGGTGGCCGCTGTATTCCTACCGTTGCTCAGCGACAAGACAGCCTTCGACAAAATGTACTGCCACACGGCCGCCAGGAGTCCTGAGATCGTCTACCAGTGAGTGGCGCTTAGCTGCATTCTTGGTGCGCCTAGTGCATCCATTCTTGTGCCCCCATTCGCCATTCTTTGCGCCCCACGTCGTCCGTTGGGTTGCGCTTCTCGTCATGGCTGCTGGCGCCCCCATGTACGTTGGGGCTGCGCTTCCCGCCTAAGATCCTGGTTTCATGTGCTACTCGTTCCTTCGGGCGAGTGCAGTGTTGCCAGGTCTTGCGGGCGAGATTCGGCTGCGTCTCTCGTGCGCGTTGCTGCTCTCCTCGTCCCCCGCTATACTTGCCGCCTATCTCACCGCTGACGTATGCATGTGTGGACACCTCAGACGTCGGGTCCCTCAGGGCTGCGGGAAGAAGAAGGAGGAGGAGGGGGAGGAAAGGGGGGAGGAAGAGGCGGAGGCGGAGGCGGAGGCGGAGGAGGAGGAGGAGGAAGAAGAAAGGGGGGAGGAGGCGGAGGCGGAGGCGGAGGCGGAGGCGGAGGCGGAGGCGGAGGCGGAGGAGGAGGAGGAGGAGGAGGAGGAGGAGGAGGAGGAGGAGGAGGGGTAGGAGTCAAGCTAGCCAACTCGAGCGAGTCAAGCATGGCATGCCCATTCCCACCCGCCTTCCCACAACATAAGAAACAATGCTGACGCAAGTGGGGACCGAAATCAGATCGGCAAGGTGGTTTGCCACAGCGGATGCAGCCGCAGTGGCGGCTACTGATGAGAAATCCCTGGCGCGTCTGACAGATTGCGCTGGCATTTCACCACGAGCCGAGGAGGCCCCAGGAATCCCCAGGAGGCCCCAGGAGGCCTCAGGAGAAGCCCCGGCGACCCCCAGGAAACCCCAGGAGGCCCAGGTAATTCCAGGAGGCTTCAGGAGACCTTAGGAAATGTCAGGACCCCCCCGGGGACTCCCAGGAAACCCCAGGATGCCTTAGGAGGCTCCAGGACGATCCGCGAAGCCCTGGGGAGGCCCCGGGAAGCCCCAGGATGTCCCAAGAGACACTGGGAGGCCCCAGGGGGCCCTAGGCGCTCGACGAATTGGCGAGCGAAAAATGTGGGCCGCGCCTCAGCGGGAGCGCAACTTTCAGAAAACATGCGCGCGGCGCCCAAGCGAAAACGACATTTCGCCCTGTCGCGCGCGATGTGCACCGCGCCCCCTTCCTGCAACGCATGTCGCAAAACCGACGACAAGAAAATCCCCACTGAGAAAAACATGTCGACGTTGTAAGGTTTCTGACAAGTAAGATGGCCCCTCCGGCTTGGGGTTGCCCCAGACGTCCGCGCGCGATGCGCTCCGCGTCCCATTCCTGCTACGTTTTTCGCATCGTCGACGACAAGAAAGGCCACGCTGAGAGAAACAACGACGACTTTGTATGGTTTTGTTAGGGTTAGGAAGAGATGGCGCGGATGGAACCCCGATCGGCCGGCCAGAGGGGAATGTAAGCGTATATTCGAATATGGAATACATAATAAGGATATGAGTAAGAGAAGTAGTAGTAGTCGTAGTAGTAGTAGTAGTAGTAGTAGTCGTAGCAGTAGTAGTAGTAGTAGTAGTAGTAGTAGTAGTAGCAATAGTAGTAATAATAGTAGTAGTAGTAGTAGTTGTTGTTGTAGAAGAAAAAGTAGTAGTAGTAGTAGTACTGGTAGTAATCGTAGTCGTAGTAGAAGCAGCAGTAGAAGAAGAATAAGTAGTAGTAGTAGTAGTAGTAGTAGTCGTAGTACGAGTACTAGTAGTAGTACTAGTACTAGTACTAGTACTAGTAGTAGTAGTAGTAGTAGTAGTAGTAGTAGCAGTAGTAGTAGTAGTCGTAGTCGTAGTCGTAGTAGTAGTAGTAGTAGTAGTAATAATACTGTAGTAATACGGGTAATAATAGTAGTGGTAGTAGTAGTAGTAGTAGTAGTAGTAGCAGTAGTAGTAGTAGTAGTAGTAGTAGTAGTAGTAGTAGTAGTAGTAGTAGTAGTAGTAGTAGTAGTAGTAGTAGTAGTAGTAGTAGTAGTAGTAGTAGTCAGTAGTAGTAGTAGTAGTAGTAGTAGTAGTAGTAGTAGTAGTAGTAGTAGTATTAGTAGTAGCAGGTAAGGTAGTAGTAGTTCTTCGTAGTAGAAGAGTAGTATAGTACTACAACTGTAAGAAGTGGTAGTAAGTAGTAGTAGTAGTAGTAGTAGTAGTAGTAGTAGTAGTAGTAGTAGTAGTAGTAGTAGTAGTAGTAGTAGTAGTAGTAGTAGTAGTCAGTAGTAGTAGTCAGAAGTAGTAGTAGTAGTAGTAGTAGTAGTAGTAGTAGTAGTAGTAGTAGTAGTAGTAGATAGTAGGTAGTAGATACTAGATAGTAGATA